ATTAGAATCTTACCTGTAGCAACATTTTGTCTTGCATCCACAGAACATAATGGAGTCCCTTGCATAGCCTAAGCATATCAGCTTCGGTGAAAGCTGGAAAATAAATATGGAATTACATGAGAAGGAAGAGAATGCATACTTACGATTCGCAGCCGACTGCTGTTTGATCCAGTCTTGCAAAGCACGAAATGCACGCTGCCTCGTCACAGGCTCACCGCATGCCAATTTTTGAGCGAAGACAACCTCGACGCTTGTCAGATCGGCTTCCATCAGTGTTTACCTTAATAATATAGTTGTACTGAGCACAAAAATCGACCAAAAGCGTACTAGTCAACCGAAAAAGAATGGCAAAAGTACTTCATATGAAGATGGCGGGCGTTACAACAGCCATACGCAAATTACGTACCTCCTATATTTGAAGTCGTCGATTATTTGAGGAGTGATGTAATTACACCTTGACGTAGGATTTGATGTTTCCTTGAATATTCATTTGCTCTGAGGTTTATGAGCTTGTGGAAGTCATCATTTTTGATTTTTTATGCGGGCAGTTTTGTGGGGGATACGTTACAAGGAAAAATTAGGGAGATTGCACGGTGTGCATCGTGCAACTTTGTCTCGGTCTGGAGCGATGGTTCCTATATTGCTGCTGTTAATCATGAACTCTATAGCAAAGCAAGTGATTTCAGATGGCAACGCGAGGTCGAACATCGGGAGGCAAACGTCCTGTTTTGCCGAACCTTGCACTTGCAGGCAAACGAGAGGAAAAGTCGAATACACCAACACAACCGAAGAAAAAAAGGTACGTTTCAAAATACGGAATTTTAAAATCTCCAAGATGCTGGCATCGATTTCATTTGATCAGCTATTGGTTTTTTTGAAGGTGTTTTTTTTTGTAAAACTATTCATTTGCTTGCAAGCTGTTCGCGGCTAGTTGGGAGCGCTGGATCTGATTGTGAGCCGTTAAAAACCATTATTTTGCGTTGTCGCATGGACTGTGGGTGGTCATTCCAAGACTTTTTTCTTCACTGTAGATGGTCAGCTTTCCAGACTTTTCTCAT